ACCTGAGCATCGCCCAAGAGCAGGGAGACAAGGTGGGGGCTTGGTCCGGGGCTGGGTGCCTCCCACCCCTGCCCCGGCCTGCGTCCAGATCTGGTCGGGGCGGGCGGGTGACACACCATCATCCAGCTCCTCACGGGAGGGATGACAGGGAGGTCGGTCCCCTAGATCCCAAGTGACTCGTGAGAGTGTGGGCCCCCAAAGCGGCCCCCCCCCAGCCCATGCTGACACTGCGGCCCAGGCCCTCATCTTCCACCCTCAGCTCTGCCGCCCCTCTCAGTGACCTCCCCCTGAATCAGTCCACACCCCCAGTCACTCACTCCCCGGGGGGCCCAGCGGGAGGCAGCGGGTGGTTCTGGGCTGCAGCAGTGGGAGGCCGAGTTCGATGGTGGTGGTGACAGCAGGGAGAGGGGCTCCGTCCCCGCTTGTGCTGGATCCGAGATAGGCTTTGCTGACCTCCCTCCGTGACCCTGTGAGGCGAGAAAACTGAGGCTGGAGGGACGTGACTTGCCCCCCATCACGCCAGCTGGAGGTGGCCGAGTGGGCTTGAGGCCGCAGCGTCTGGTCCCAGCTGGACCTCTCAGCCTTGGGCATCAGAGGACAGAGCTGAGGACCTGGCGCCCTGGCCACACCAATCCGCACAGGAGGGAGGGGTGGCGAGGGAGGACAGAGGCTGGCTTCCCAGGTGTCCCGTCCTCAGGCCTCCGCCCCTGCCTTAGTGTCTGTGACTCAGTGGGAGCCCCCAAGGCCCCCTGTGTCGAGGGCCGGCACAGTGAGGACACCGGCCTGCTGGCTCTGCACATCCCATGGGGGGCCGTGGAGGCACACCCCCAACCCTCCATGCTGCCCGCAGGTCGGGGAGGCGAGGGCCCTCTACAACATCGGGAACGTGTACCACGCCAAGGGCAAGCAGCTGTCCTGGAACGCCGCGAATGCCACGCAGGACCCCGGGCACCTGCCGCCCGATGTCCGAGAGACCCTGTGCAAGGCCTCCGAGTTCTATGAGTGAGTGGGGCTGGGCCGGCCCTGGGACCAGGGCTGGTCTGTGCATTTCTGAGCTCCACAGACACTTCCAGACCCCCAACCCCAGGCCCACACCTCCCGGCAGCTCCCAGGGCAGTGACAGCAGGTCCGCCCAGCGCCCCCTTTCTCAGCTGCAAGCTCCTCCCCTGAGATTGCCCCTGTCTGGGACTGGGGGGACCTGACCAAGCCCTGGACCTCAGAGCTCGAGGACACTGGAGCCCACCCTAGCTACCATCTTTCCAGGGCGTGGCCCTGAGGGCCGCACGGAGGCCACTGCTCAGCTCTTCTAGCCTGGGGTGGGTGAGGACGTGGGCTGGGAGGTACACGGCTCAGAGGCACTCGGCCCCCAGGAGGAACCTGTCCCTGGTGAAGGAGCTGGGCGACCGTGCGGCGCAGGGCAGGGCCTACGGTAACCTGGGCAACACCCACTATTTGCTGGGGAACTTCACAGAGGCCACGACCTTCCACAAGGAGGTGAGCCGGGCAGGGTGACGGGGTGGAGGGGTTGGGCTGCGGCAGGGGCAGGGCTGAGCCACCCGTCTGGCGGTCCCTGAAAGCAGGGCGGGGTGGTGTGGCCCGGCAGCAGGCGCACCCCACCGAGCCCCGGCCTCATCTGCACTTGGTCCTGCGGCTCCTACCTGCTCCCCCAGACACACAGATCTCCGGCCAGCCACCTGGGCAGGGAGGCAGCCCCTGTCCACCCACATCAGGCCCCAGGGCTGCTCCATGACTGCCTGGCCTCGGGTCTGTCTCCGCAGCGCCTGGCCATTGCTAAGGAGTTTGGAGACAAGGCGGCCGAGAGGAGGGCCTACAGCAACCTGGGGAACGCCCACGTCTTCCTGGGGCGCTTCGACGTGGCTGCTGAGTACTACAAGTAGGTGGTCCCCACAATCTCCCAGGGAAACAGCAGGACAGGGGGAGCTGGATGCCACACCAAGGAGGTGCCCGCCCCAAGGTGGGAATCTGACTGCCTCCCCTTCCCTAACCAGAAGTCAAGGTGGGGTTCTAGGCTGCCCCGGGAAGGGCAGATGGACAAAGCTCATGAGGAGGCAGGTGGTGGGGGAGCCGGCTTATGGGAGGTCTGGGCCATCTGCCTCCTGGCCTGAGCCAGAGCAGTGCCTGCCGGGTGGAGCCCGGCTGTCAGCACTGGGTCCTATACCCAGCCCTAAACTTAGCCCCATCTCAGCCTGAGCAGTGGGCACAGCAGTCCCAGGTCCTCCAGGGAGGAGTGGTGGCTCAGGGTAGTCAGGCGACTTGCCAGAGCCTGCCAGGACCGCCTGTCACCCTGGAGCCAACAGTCCGGCTCTGTGGCCATGTAAGGGTGGGGATGAAGCTGGACCCCAGAGAGGCCCCAGAGGGATTCCGGGGCAGGGGACCACTGGGCAGACTGCGTCCCCATTCTTATCTTCCACCCCTCACCCTGGAACCCTCCTCCTGGGGGCTGACCTTGCCACTGTTCACAGGAAGACGCTGCAACTGTCTCGGCAGCTCAGGGACCAGGCGGTGGAGGCGCAGGCCTGCTATAGCCTGGGCAACACATACACGCTGCTGCAGGACTATGAGCGTGCGGCCGAGTACCACCTGCGGCACCTGCTCATTGCGCAGGAGCTGGCCGACAGGTGCGTGGCGCGGATGCGGTGGGCAGACCCGGCCCGGCCCACAGACTGAATCACCGCAGCCCAGGCGAGGTGGCCGGGGTCCCATCCCCTGCTCTGCCACTGACCGTGCTGTGACCCGGGCAGGGCAGCACCGCTGTGGGGACTGAGCCAGACAGTGTGGACACAGGGCTGGCTGCTGACTCCTGGCACAAGTGGGTGGGGTCCTCCTCCCATCACTCAGTTCGCCACCCTGTTGACCCCCACCACCTGTGTATGTATGTAAATATCAGTCTCTGGACAGAGACAGGCTGGCAAACCACAGGCCCCTAAGTACTGTCCTGTATGCAGGTCTGGGGTAAGTGGTGGCCAGAACAAGAGGCTCAGAGCCACAGGCCTGTGGCCTTTCACAGGCAGTGGAGAGGAGGGGTCTTTTGAAAGGCTGCCATGCCTGGAGGCTTAAAAGTGGCCCAGGGTTTTCCTTTGTGGGGTGGTGATGAGAATGTTCTGGAATAGACAGAGGTGCCGGTTGCACGGCATGAGTGGACAAAATGCCACTGAATCGTCCACGTGAAAAGGATCACATTCCTGTTAGATGCATTTCCCTCCAACATAAAAGCAACCCCCTCACCCAGTGACTTGGGGGTGCCTCTGAGGGTGGAGGGAGTGCAAGGAAGCTGGCCGCCAGGGGGCGAGCGAGGCCAAGGGCCCAGAAACTGCCCACAAAGGCAGAACTGGCCACAGGCCAGGTTGCTTGGGCTCTGTGCACTAATCCTTTTAATGGGAATGAAAAAGGCAGAGCTGATTGGGTCTTCTCCTTGAAGGTGGCAGAATTTGTGGGAGGTCCCGGCTAGGGGCGTTATCCTGCCCTCCGGTCTATGCTCCTTGGACCTGGGGGCCCCGATGACCCTCGAAGCCAGGGTCATGCTGGGGCCCTGACCACCAGGGGAGGGGCTGGGGCTGGGGGCAGGCCTGGAGAGGGCGGGTATGAATCCCGTCTCCCTCTCTGGCAGAGTGGGCGAGGGCCGGGCGTGCTGGAGCCTGGGAAATGCCTACGTGTCCATGGGGCGCCCGGCGCAGGCCCTGACCTTCGCCAAGAAGCACCTGCAGATTTCCCAGGAGGTGAGCCAGGCCTGCCCCCAGGGGCCCCGGGCACTGCCCAGCCCACTCCAGACGGGCCGGGTTCACTCTGTCCCGAGCAAGCGTTTGCATGCCTGGGCCGCCCCTCATCCTTTCAGGGCCGTTGCAGCCGCCTGGTCCTTCTGAGGCCTGGTGACAAGGTGTCTACCGCACCTGGGGGTTTTTCCCGCAGCCCCCAGCTGGTGCTTTCCTGGGCAGCTGCGTCTCCTCCTCCTTGGAGAGGTTGCACAGGGTCTCTGTGGGCTCTGTCCATTAGCACCCTCCTACTGTGGTCAGGGCGGAACATCACAGATGAACTCTGGGCCTCCCAGCTCCTGGCTTGTCCTTACATCACGCACTCCCACGCCACCTCCCTCTGCACACCCTGAGTCTGTTCATGCTAAAGATGGTGCCAGCCCCTACTGACCACCATAGCCCCGTGTGGGAGGTGGCCGAGTGGGGAGGCCTGCAGGTGCCCAGGTGAGGGTGGAGAGGGGCGGGCATGCAAAGGTCAGCAGAGCCCTTGTCTGGAGAGCTTCTCCACTGGCAGCCAGGAGGCAGCCCCCGTGTCCCTCTGAGTGCAGGCTACAGCCTCCAGGGCCCTCCAGGGCTCCATGTGGCAGTGCCTCCCGTGCCATGTCACTCTCTCTTCTGCTTGACTTAAGCAAACAGTGCCTGAGAAATGTGGATGTTCCTGGGCGGGTCCCACGGAGCCTCAGCGCACAAGGGCTGAGAGAGGTGCAGCCGGGCGGGGCCGGGCCTCTCGCGCACCAGAGGGCACAGGCCTGCCTGCCTGGGACCCCGTGCATCTCTGGGGTGGGACTAGGGGCTGTTGAGGACCTGTAGGGCCACCTCACCCAGGGACAGAGCCCCAGACTCCACCTCCGGGTCCGCAGTGAGTCCTGGTTCCCTCAGGCCCAGGGGTCAGTGACCAGTTCAGGTCACTGAGGTGGTCAGGGACAGGTGTACTGGGGGCCATTGAGGTCCCCTTGGAGCCCACAGCAGGGCCCCTGGCCACACTTGCCCGCTCCGTCCCGCTCACTGCAGATCGGGGACCGCCATGGGGAGCTCACGGCCCGCATGAACGTGGCACAGCTGCAGCTGGTGCTCGGCCGCCTGACCAGCCCAGCAGCCTCAGAGAAGCCTGACCTGGCCGGCTATGAGGCCCAGGGTGAGTGCCAGGGTTGTGGGGGGGGGGGTCTTGCTCCCCACAGGCACAGACCGGATCGGGAGCTGGGGAGGGGTGGGATAGAGGCCAGGCCAGCATGGCTGAGGTGGCAGCCGCCAGAAAATGGCCCTGCAAGCCAGTTCTTCTTGGCCTCAGGGACAGCACAGGCCTGAGGTTCACTCTGAGCCCCTCCCACCCTCGTCCTGGGTGGCACCGCAGGGCTGCTGGCTGAAGGACAGGAGGTGGTCACCTACTGCCCGGCTGGCTGCTCCGGGGCCTCCACTCCCCACCTGCCCCTGGAGCACTTGGTGCAGGGAGGGCTTCTGTCCTCAGACCCAGGTGGGAGAGGGCCGCTGGGAGGCAAGAGGGCATCAGCCAGAGGGCTGGGCTGGGCTGGGGGAGCCCCATGTGCCTGGGGCGGTAATCAGGCAAGGCCCAAGGCCAGGCGAGGCCACCGTGGTGACCTCATTCATGTACCACTGGTTGTGCCATGCTGGTCAGCAGTGCTGCACACAGGTCAGAGCATCCCCCACAAAGCGAATAGACTAATAGGTGCCGGGGGTGGTGCCAGGTTGGGCTGGCTTCCTGAGGTGGCTGGCAGTGGGTGAGGGGCAGGTCTAGGGGGAGCAACTGCCCCACCCATGTGTCCCCAACCCCCGAGGGTCTTGAGTTTGCCAGGAGTTGAGCCCCAGCCCCCGAGAAGGGATGCCTGCCTCCCAGAACGTACCTGGTGCCCCCCAGGCCTGCTGAGGACCAGGCTGGGAATACCAGGCTTGGATGTGGTGCTGGGCTGCCAGAGTTTCTTTTTCTTATTTTACTTTTAATAATTAAATGTTTTTATAGAGATAGGGCCTCGCTATGTTGCCCAGGCCAGTGTCAAACTCCCAGCCTCAAGCGATCCTCCCATCTCGGCCTCCCGAAGTGATGGGATTATAGGTGTGAGCCACCGTGCCCAGCCATCCCCTGGGTTTTTGTGCCATGGTGCTCATGGATTTCTGACGATGACCTCTCCTGGGAAATTGGGGGTGCATGTCAGCCACCACAGAGGCCGAGGACAGAGGAAGGAGCAGAGGCTCTGGGGCCCTCAGCGAGCCCGTGGGACCAGGTGCTGTTACCGATGGCGGTGGGTGGGGGATGGGCTGGAATGTGCCCCCCCGGGATATCCAGGCCTATATCTACCCGTGGCCCGGGTTTCTTAAGAGTGGGGGGCTCTGCAGAGAGCTCCTGAGGCACCCCTAGTGCCCCTCCTTTGTCCCTGGCTCGGCACTGCCACCATCTGGGACCCCAGCAGCAACTAGGGGCAGGGCTGGGAGCAGATCTGAAAAGGCTCTTCGGAGGCTGCGGCTCCGGGTCCTCCCAACGTTTTCTTTCTTGGAGCCAAGGAAAAGGGGGGCCGGAGTGGGAGGACGCTGGAACAAAGCAGCTTCTGTCCCTCCTGGCTCCGCTGTGCCTCCCCGAGTGCGGGACCCCTTCCAGCCGGCCCGATGCCTCCTCCCCCAGGGCTGGGGAAGGGTCCGCCTCCCTGCCCAGGGCAGCCCTGCAGCCTGCCTGGGGCCGCCGCCCCGATGCCGCTGCGGGAGGCAGGCTGCACCCCTAGAGTCTGGGCGGCCCTCGGGGAGACCCCCGTTCAGCTGAGCCTGGCAGGGACAGAGCCTTGAGGCCGCAAGTCTGGACTCGGCGCTGCGGGTTTGGGGCGCCACGGAAGGACCCACGCAGCCTCCCCATTCTGCAGGTGCGGAACGCGGGGTGGATCTGTGAGCAGAAGGAGGGAAGTGGGGTGCAGAGACACGCTAGAGCCTGGCCCGTGCGGAGGGGGCGCCGGGGGCTGGGGGCACAGGAGGGCTCTGCCCAGCGGGGTGTGGGCGGGGCGGGGGCGGGGAGGAGGAAGTCGCCTGGGGGCGGGGCTTCAGCTCGCCGGGGACGTGGTGGGGAGTGGCCTTGCTGTTGTGGGCGTGTCCATGGGCGGTGGGCGTGGCAGAGGCTGGTGGGTTTGGTGCCCGGTTGATAAACACGAGGAGACTTAATGTGCGGCTGGAGGACAAAGAATCTTGACGCGGCTTAGTCAGCGTATTAATCTCACCGCCCTCTGCCGGCCCCTCCCCAGCCAGCAGAGAAGCCCCAGACGTGTGTCTGGGGGGCACCTCCCTGCCAGCTGCTGCCCTTGTCCAGCTTCTCTGGGTGTGCGGCCTCTATGAGACCCTGACGGCAACCAGCCCCCGCCTCCCTGGCCAGAGGGCACAGGCCCGGGCCTCCCACACTTGCTCTTGGGCTGCCCTACCCCTCACCCCAGCAAGGGTGCCAGGTACGATGGAGTTTCTGCTGCCGCTCTTGGTGCGGGCAGCATAATTGGCATGTTAGGAGGAGGGAGCCAGCCCTGAGCCCTACAGGACCTCCCCCTGCCCGTAGCCCGTCTCCGATGGCCCTGCCTGTCCCACAGGGTGTGCGACTGCCCTCGGCCCTGCTGACTGTGCTCGACAGCCCTTCACCCTCTGGACCCTGCTCAGGGCATCGTGAGCATGGTACACAGGAGTTCCCAGGGGAGCATGCCATCAGCCTCCCTGGGAGAAGTCCCCTGAACGTCCCGACGGGTGGCCTTGGGGTCAGGGATGTGCCTGGCATGACATCCCTTGCAGTTTAGGCTGTGGGCTCCCGCCCTGGCCAGCTGATTGTGACTTGACCCACTTGTGCCTCAGTGTCCCCATCTAGGGAACAGACCCACCAGTAGTGCTGGGAACAGAACTTGGCAGGGGTGAGAGGCCAGCAAGCCTGAGAGCCCAGAAACCTGTTACGTTCGGGCCCTGGGTGGGCGAGGCAGGCGTGACTGCAGCACGGTCCTCCTGTTCCAGCAGCCCAGTGGCCTTTGGGCAGTCGCAGGGATGGAGGATGCACCCTCTCTCTGTGCGCCTAAGAGGGCCCAGAGGGGACAGTGTGTGAGAAATGGCACACAGGGTCCTGTACGCAGCAGATACACAGTAAATGCCCGCCGCTCGGTCACCAGGCCCCTGCCGTGTGCCAGGCACTGCTGGGGCCCTCACTGGTACCGAGAGTGCTGAACTGCGTCCAGGGAACCGATAGGTGAGGAAAGGGCAGCCTGGGAGCGAGCCACATGGGATGAGCTTTGGGAGAAAGAAAAGCCCAGCAGGGGAGGTGTGGATAGGAACAGGGAACAGGGGAGGCAGGCTGCAGCAGCTTCGGGAGGTGACCGTCATGGTCCGTTCCGACTGCCCTCACAAAGCACCGCAGGCCGGGGCAGCAGCAGTAGACATTTTCTCCTCACGGCTCTGGAGGCCACAAGGCCAGGGTTGGGGTGCCATGTGCTTGGGCGCTGGCGAGGGTCCTCTTCCTGACTGGCAGACGGCACTTTCTCGCTGTGTCCTCACATAGCAGAGAGAGGGAGGAAGAAGGGGGAGCTTGAGAACACTGGTGGCTTCTCCTAAGGCCACTCGTCATTATGGGGCTCCATCCTCATGACCTCCTGTAAACCTCAGGACCTCCTAACACCATCCCATGGGGAGTTAGGGCTTTGATGATGACACTCCAGCAAAGACTGGAGGTCAGAGAGAAGTGAGCCGCAAGCTTAGACGGAGGAACAGCAGTCTGGGCAGAGGGAACAGCTTGTGCAAAGGGCCTGAGGCAGGGGCCAGCCTGGTGGGAGGAGGGACAGCGGGGAGACTGTCTGGAGCTGATAGAACAAGGAGAGGGCCTTGGCCGAAGAAGGGAGGGCCTTGTGGGCCCTTGTGTGAGATCCCGTCTCCAGTGGGGCGGGGCCCTTAGGACCCAGCAGAGGAGGGGCAAGGCCTACGCCAGCCCTTACCACCCCCTTTCTTGGAGAGGGGACTTACAGGCAAGGCTGGGGCAGCAGGCAGGTGAGGGGCAGGTGATCCGGCTGCAGGGAAGTGAGGAGGGGTGGGACTCTGGGTCTGCAGTGAGGCAGGGACTGCCTGGATTTCAGACCAGAGGTGGGTGTAAAGGAACAGTGGGCAGCTGAAAATCGGGGTTGCTGAGGTCTGAGCCAAGCCGGCAGGGGGGTGCTGCCCTGAGGGGTCAGGCAGGCACAGGGGGCACTGAGATGCTCGGGGGGCTTGAGTCGGCCATGGCACATTGTCGAGCTGGGTGAGGACAGAAATGATGACAGTGTGACGGTCAGCGTCGGGTGGCCCTGGGGCGGTGCTGGGAGAAGTTTCCAAACGTTGCGCTCGTAGGCGGGAGAGACAGGAAGCCAAGCCAGTGGGCCGGGCCTGTCTGGACAGCTCAGCCAAGGGCGCTGGACTCACACTCAATGCCTCGGCCGACTCTGCAGACAGAGGATGCATTGAGCCGGGCGCAGCGGGCCTTCCGCTCACCATCCGTGCCTGGCTATGAGGGCGCCCGCCATGGAGCCAGACGCTGGCTGTGTCTCAGAAGGGCATTTCAGCCACTGCTCCAGCCAGGGCCCATCCATGCAGCGTCCTGGTGGAGGGCCAGGCCTGGCAGAAGCAGCTGTGCTGGACCCAGGACCCGGAGGATGCATTGGGGAAACCAAGTCAGGCCCCCGTGGCATTGGGGGGCAGCGGAAGGAGAGCCAGGCTCTCAGGGAGTGCACACTGGGAGATGGAGCAGGGCTCTCGCTGGGTGTGGTAAGTGAAGGGACTGCCCCAGCAGACGTGCCCCTCTGTCATTTCCATGGTGTGGGGAGCAGACCCCGAACTGTGTGGGGTCAGGAGCTGTCCTCAGAGCGACCTTGCTAGTCTGGGTGGGGGTGGGCAGCTGGCAGCCCTTCAGAGAACAGGACACCGGCCCCAGCCCCATTCTGTCCCATTCAGGCTGCACCACCCGAGGCTGGGGCGGCTCCACCACCTGAGGCTGGGGCGGCTCCACTTCAGTGCCTGGCCAGATCCTGAATGTGCCAAAGCTAACCTTGATCCCACTGACCACTGTGACCACAGGGCGGGGCTGGGAGCCCTGCCTGGGGCGTTCGTGTTGCCAGTGGGAGGCGCAGTGGACGGCCCCAGGTCCCAGCGTCCTGCTCAGGCCCTGATGGGCCCCAGGTGAGCCTCTGGCTGCACACGTTTCCATCTCAGGCCTCTGGAGAGCAGGAGCTCAGGGTGTGTCCTCGGAGCCCGGAGGCCAGGCCAGGGAAGTGCACAGCCCATACTCGGTCAGCTCCCATTCCCTGCCCAGCTCTCATGAAGCCCTAGGCATTCGCCGTGGGCTGGTCTGGGGCCAGCGGGCTGGAGGTGGAGGACAGCCTGGGCCCCCAAGTCCTCAGCTCCCTCTGCTCCTGTCCCCTTCCCCCCCGCCGCGTTTAGGATGCTCGCTGTTTAAACAGGTCACATGGACAGGCTCGGGAAGGGGCTTCTATAGCAGCCAGGCCTGGCCAGAGGCTCCCGTGTGCCCCATAGGTAGCACCTCGCTGTCCGCCAGGCGCCTTCTTGGCCGTCTGAAGCCCCCAGCGCATCCTCATCGCTGCCGTTCACTAAGTGGGGGCAGGATCCCCTTCCCAGTGCGGGGTGGAGGCTTGGATTCCATTCGGTGGCACAGTGCTCAGAGAGCAGCCCTCCAGCAAGACCCAGGCCTGTTCTCATCCCCAGCGTGGGCCTGTAAGGGAGACCCTGAGAGACCCTGACACTCTGGCCCATTTCCTCCCTTCCTCGTGGTCGGGGCCAGGCTCATATTTAAATCAGGGCCACGCTGAGGCTGGGGTCAGGGGGATGTTGGCTGAGTGACCCAGCTGTGCAGGTGAGGCTGGGAGGGGCTGTGTGTGCGGTCCAGTGCCTGAAATGACTGAGTGACTGGCCGCCTGAGCCGGCTCTCTCCATCTGTGGATGTTGCGTTCCCCGGCAGGGCCCAGAACCCAGGGCTAACGGTGGGGTCCAGGTGCACCTGAGGCTCTGGCACCCTGCGTGGCCATTCATGCTAACTTTGACGAGTGCCCCAGCCCTGGTGGCTGTGCCCCCTGATGCAGTAGGGCCTGGACGGGGTAAGGGGGTGTCTGGGCCTGCCCTCCACGTCTGCCTGGTGCAGGCAGCCACCAAGCAGCTTCGCTTTAGGAGCTGAGCTCCTCGGGGGATGAGCACAGAGCGGCACTGCCCCACCCGGCCCATCCCTGCCGGCCCAGTCTGATGATAGGGCACTGAGCTCTGAGGCGTAGTAAAGGGGCCAAGTCTGCTGGTCTGGAGGTGCCAGGACTGGATTCTCAGAGTGCCCACTGATGCCAGGGCTGGCTCTGGCCCCGCCCTCGGACTCACACCGGGTGTGCGCGGGGCCCCTGGGCACAGCCCGTATCCAGCGTGTCTGCGGGTGGAGGGACACTTGGTTCCCAGGAAGACTGGGTAAGGGTGGGCGTGGGGGTGTGGGAGCTGTGGGCGAGCGGGGAGGAGGGCCGGGGTCCTCCCAGCTGCGAGAGGCTCCCTGGGGATGTGCCGGGTGTTGGGACAGCAGAGACAGGGTCCTCAGTGCCAGCCTCGTTCCGCCGTCGTCCCCTCTGCCTGGAACATTCTGCTACCTTTTCCACAGTGGCCGTGCCCCCGTCCATCCCGCCACCTCCTCAGGGAAGCGCCCGCAGACCCTGGCTCTCAGCCACGGCATCAGGCCTTCCCACAGCGCTTCTCGCCTGGTTGGGGATGTTCCCCACATCCCGGATTCCATCCCATTTTTCCGTTGGCCACCTCATTTCTGGTCTGCCAGGTCTGTTGTGTCCTGAATCTGGGTCCCTGTGAGTGCTCCGGGAATGGCTGGACTGAGGTAGGGCCACTCTCCCAAACTCCCAAATCCTTTCGGACCCCTCAGGGCTGAGTGACACCCGCCTCTGCCTGGGCCGTGTTAGGACAGAGGCTTGGAGGTAGGCCTGGCTGTGGGGCTGCCGGGGGGCCCAGGACAGGCACTGGTGGCTCCGCTGAGTCTGTATCTGGCCAGAGTTGGGTCAGGCAGCTGCGCCCCACCACCCCACTGTGGCTAGAGGAGATGGGGGTCCCTTGGGTGGAGACACGGCCAGTAGGGTGAGCCCAGGGCCAGGAGGGATGGACAGGAGCCTGGGGAAGGTCCCACGGCAGAGCTGGTCTGGGGGACTCATCTGAGGCCTTTGCCTTCCCCGCCCTGGCCTGGACTGCCGCAGTGAGCTGGGGGTGGACCCAGAGGCCCGCCCCACCTGCCTCTGGGGCACAGCATGACGCACCCTCAGGAGGGGGATTGGGTGGCCTCACAGAGGTGGCCGAGGGCCACAGGGGCCACCGGAAAGGGGTCCAGGCAGGAGGAGCAGCAGGAGTTGACGCCGGGAGGCCCTGTGTGTGGCGGGGGAGAGGCCTGTCCAGAGCCAGGCCCTTCCAGGACGGGGGAGCCAAAGCCCGACCCCACCTGGCCCCACCCAGGGTGCGCCCCGTCTCGACGCCCATCCCCTTTGACTGACAGTACACTCGGGGAGATGCAGAGGGACACTCAGACATGGCACTCGCCTCCACAAGGGGGGCTAGCTGTCACAAAGCCACGGCCGGGTTGGTCCTGGGCCCCTGGAGACTCTGGCCTGGCCCACCTGGTGCGAGGTGCCGGGGGGTGCAGGCTGACCGGGTCCCTCTGTCCTCAGGAGCCAGACCCAAGAGGACGCAGAGGCTGAGCGCGGAGACCTGGGACCTGCTGAGACTCCCCCTGGAGCGGGTGAGCCAGGGACACACGGGGCCGATGTCAGCACAGCCGCTGCCAGAGCACGGGCACCGGGGTTAATGAGGCAGAGCCACCGCCACCCACCTCAGCCCGTCTGCTGGGGGATAAATGTACCCTCCTGCACAGGCCCATCTGCCACCTGCTCACCCATGTCCCTCAGCGTCTGGCCAGCTGCGCCCCAGGCGAGGCGTGGTCCTCACACATTTCAGGCCCCCATGCTCCACCCAGCCGCTATGTCACTGCACCCTCGGGACCCACAGACAGGGACACCCACTCCTGCCTGCTCCCTACCCTCTCGGACTCTGCACCCGAAGTGGGGACAGCTGCTCCAGGTGCAGACACCAGCTGGGGTTCAGCAAACACAGACGGACAGATTCGGGGACTGCCTGGCGTAGGGCCCTGGGCTGACCCTGTGCCTGCCGGCAGTGGGTGCTGTGTGGCCTGGGCTGGCAGCCTGACCTCTCTGAGCCTCTGGTTCCTCTGGTGTGGCCTGTGTTCAGTTGTGGATGGCCGTCAGGGTTCTGCTGTGGGGACAAGGCCCAAGGACGCCCATAGTCACTGTCATTGCCGGTGTAAGCCGGCCAACATTTACGGGGGTCACTGGCCCTCAAGCGCCCCACCCTGCCTCTCCCGGCCCCAGCCAAGGCCCCACAGCCCCAGTCCTCTTCTCCTCCCTGGGGACTGAGTACCTACTGTGTGCGTCCATGAAATGGAGGCGGCCTGGCCTTCCCTTCAGGGTCCTGGGATGGGGACATTGGTTCACAATCGCCCAGGACATGCACAGCCTTACCCCTCCCCAGGAGCAGAATGGAGACAGCCACCACGCAGGGGACTGGCGGGGGCCCAGCAGGGACTCGCTCCCCATCCCCGTGAGGAGCAGGAAGTACCAGGAAGGCCCGGACGCTGAGAGGAGGCCCCGGGAGGGCAGCCACTCCCCGCTGGACAGCGCCGACGTCCGGGTGCATGTGCCGCGCACGGTAGGCGTCTTTGACAGCAGAGCCAGGCTGAGAGGGAGGAGAGCTTGGCAACGGCGCCCCAGCTCCACTGCCAGCCAACGGGCCGGGCCGGGGCAGGCCCGGGCACTCCGGGGAGGCAGGGGTCCCTCCGTGGTGCACCTGGTGCAGTGCTGTCCTGGGAACCCGGGCAGGGGCTCTGGGCAGGGCTGAGGGTTCAGCATTGTGGTCACACCCGGCCTCAGAGGCCCTGGCCACCGAGGAGCCTCCTGGGCACTCTGGGCTGGGCTCTTCTGCAGGGAAGGCCCCGCCTCTCTTTGGGCCCCAGTTTCCATCTCGTTCACCAGTTGGGGGCTGGCTCTTCCAAGCCTTCAGGTGGCCTCTGTCTCTGACCCCAGCCCCCGCCCTCCTTCGTCGGAACCCTCCAGACCCAGCCGCTAGTCGCAGGAGCGTGTCCCTGAAAGGGACTGGCTGCCTCCACTGTGAGAGCTGGGCTGCACAGATGCCCTGATGGGGTGCCCCTTCCTGAGGCGGCTCTTGGAGGCTCTGGCCAGTGAGGTCAAGCCTGTGTACCCTAGCAGGGCCTCGGAGGGGTGGACGAAGCCATTGTAATCCCTGGGGGAATCCTGGGATCTCTGAAACCTGGCGGGGGTCCCTGAGTAGAGGGGCCTGAGGGGCACCCAAGGGGCAGGTGGGAAGCCCCAAGCCACGCCCATGGTTAGGTCCTGGTGTGGAAGTACCTGCAGCTCCTGCCAGGTCAAGGTGCTGGGGCCTCTCCTTGTCAGTGCAGTGGCCGGGGCAGGACCAATGGTGAGTGGGGTCGTGGAGGGGATGCATGGCTGCCGAGCCCCTGGTAAGGGGACAGCAAGGGGCTAGGTCCACCCAGGGTTCCTCCTGGTCAGGGGCTGGGAGGCCCCACCCTGCCCAACCCCACCTGGGCTCAGGGTCATGAGTGGAGCAGAGGGTCACAGCCCAGCAAGCAGCAGCAGTGCAGCCTGGGGGCCGCCTGGGTCCTCAGGCCTAGCCAGGAGCCCCCCCCGCATTGCTGCGGCACACACAGGTGGAGGGAGGGGTGGGGCGGTTGCAATGACTGCCAAGTGTATGGGTGGACGGACGGGGACAGACAGACCGGTGGTCAGACTCGGGGATGGCAAACGGATGGGGGACAGACAGACCGGTGGTCAGACTCGGGGACGGCGGACGGACGGGGGACAGACAGACCGGTGGTCAGACTCGGGGATGACGGGGGACAGGCCGGGCCTGTGCCTGGCAGGTGTCAGCTGTGCCAGGGCCACTCCAGCCACGGGGGAGCTGGTTGGTGTTCAGGGGCATAGATGGGCCGAGTCCAGGTTCAGAGGTCAGTCTGGAGCTCCCCCGTGCAGAACAGCTGGGTCCAAACCACTAGAAACAGTCTGAAACTGTTCCTCCGTGGGCACCCACCTGCAGAGGGGTGTGGGTTCCAGGGTGGGATTCGCAGCCCCCCGAGGCTGCCCGAGCCCATCCTGCCCACCAGCAGGGTGCAGCCTCCCCTCCCCTCATTCAGCCTCAGCACTGCCCAACCATCTGGGCTGCTTCCATCAGTCCACTGACGGGAGAGGTGCGGAGGGAAGGGTACCCAGGGAGCACCTGGTCAGGCCTTCCTGGTGGTCCTGGTGATCCCCCAACCTCCCTGGGCCTGGAGGGAGGAGCAGGACTGGGACCCAGACACCTGCTCTGTCCACAGCTGGCTCTGCCCACCACATCTGGGCCACCAAGGAAGGAGCGGGAGGCTGGCAGCGTGTGTAGGGCAGGCCAGCGTCAGCCGGCCTCAGGGACAGATGGCTTTCTAGAAAGCAGAGCCTCTGAGGGCTTCCGGGCTTCACGTCCCCCCAAAAAACTGCCCTGGTTCTGGGCCAGCAGGGCCAGGGGAAACAGTTCCAAATGTCCAGCTGCCTGGCCCTGCTCCCCTGGCCCCTGCAGCCACCACAGGGCAGGACGCCCAGGACAGCCAAGATCCTGGCACCAGACAAACGGGGTTCACAGGGCCTGTGAGGACGTGGCAGGGCCTCTTGGCTTTTCTGCTGACCTGAACCCCACTGGCCTTCCTGAGGTCAGGACCTCGGGTACCGCCCCGAGTAAGGACCGTCTGCACCCTGGTGGCAGCCTGCATGGGGACTGCAGCAACAGTGGGTGGGGGACATATCCCTGGGCTGTCAGTGGCTGGGTGGCCCCCTTCCCTCTCTGCTGGGGTCCTCAGGGGAGGGCTTTCACCTCTGAGTTGGGGTTCTCCTCTGCAAAGTGCAGCTGATACGGACACTGCGCCGTTGCTGTTGCTGACCAGCCAGCCTCTGCCCCTGCCCACCCTGTGCCCAGACAGTGCAGGGGCCTTTGGGGTGTGAGGCGGTGCGGCTGGGTGTGGTCTGGGGGTCCAGAGAACTCATCCTGGGGTGGAGGGTAGGGGGCAGGGCAGGGTTGGCCTCAGAGGCTGGAGACAGTGTGGGTCCAACCAGGAATGAGACAGGGGTAACAACCAGAGGCTGGAGCTGAGCTGGCCGGGAGGTCCTTGAGCCAGGGCACTGGGGAGCCACCGAGGGCTGTGGGGCAGGAAGGGCTGTCCCGGACAGAGGAATCCAGATGAGGAGGACAGCAACCCTCCCAGCTTCTCTGTGCCTGCCTCCGTAGTCAGGCTGAATAACGAGGTGGTTTTCCCCACCTGGCCCAGCTCTGGAGGGAGGCCCAGGGGCCCGGGTGTCAGCAGGGAAACGGCTCTTCAGCAGGCTGTCCTCCCACACAGCCCTGCAATGTGCCCGCCCACAGGCATGGGGCGGGGAGGCGGGAGGTTCACTGCTGCACTCGCTGGGGGAGGGTTTACGGAGCACGCCTGGGTGTGTGTGCGAGCCCGCGTGGTGGATGTGAGCTTGTGCGTGTGTGTGAGCTCGTGCGTGTGTGTGAGCCCGCGTGGTATGTGTGAGCTCCTGCGTGTGTGTGAGTTTGTGTGTGTGTGTGAGCTTGTGCGTGTGTGATCCCGTGTGCGTGTGTGTGAGCCCGTGTGGTGTGTGTGAGCTCCTGCGTGTGTGTGAGCCCGTGTGCGTGTGAGTTTGTGCATGTGAGTTTGTGCGTGTGTGTGAGTTTGTGCGTGTGTGTGAGCCCATGTGTGCATGCGCTCAAGTGAGCAGGGGTGGGTGCTGGGAGGGCTGAGCCCTTGCCCAGGGTCCTGTTTAAGCCTCAGGCATCCCAGCCTTGAGGCAGCACTTGGCACTTTGGGCAGGGTGGTGGTGGCCCTGAGCACCTTGTGTCCTGCCTGCGCTCCGTGTGGCCAAGCACCCAGCGTGGGGCTCCCCGCCGCTGTGGAGAGAGCCTGTGAGCCGCGTGAGTCTGGGGTCCCTGGGGTCCTAACAGGTGGAGGCTGAGGGAGCACACGGACCTCCGTGAAGCTGGGTGGGGTGGTCTTGGTCCTCCTCAGGAGAAACTGGGCTTGTGCTAAAGCAGGAGAGACTACAGTCAGACTTAAGGAAGAACTCTGAGACCTCCAGGAAGGAGGGAGCCAGGGGTTGGGGCAAGGGAGGGGTTAGAGCAGGGAGGCGGGACCCCGAGTCCCACTGGAGTGGCCTTGGGGCCAAGGGTCTTGCTCCTGAAGGGCTCAAGGGGCCCCAGACTATCCAGAGCCTCTCCCTGTACCAGGCACTAAGCCTCAGTTTTGCACCTGTGGTCTTAGGCCCCTGCCCGCCATGTGAGGGATGCATTAGCCCCGCAATAGGTGGCCCCGGCCTCAGGGAAGGGGAGGGCTGCCCGACATGGGGCAGGGGCTTCGCCATGGTGCCTGGGACATGGCCCCTGAGGGGTCCTGCCTTTCCCAGGAGGGGCCTTGCTCAGTTCACCTGGGCCCTGGGTCACCTGGGGGAGCCCAGCTTGGCCTCCCACAGAGGCCCCCCCACAGCTGTGCCCAAGCCCATCACAGCCTGGGAGCCAGTCCCTTTTGGACCAGGAGGCCACATCCTCCCAGAGAGGCCTGTGTGGCACCCCCACTGGCACTCAGAGATGCTGGCAACCCCAGTGCCACCCTCTGCCTGGACCTGCAACTCCCGGAGCCCTGGCCCAAGTGGATGTGGCCCTCCCTGCAACCTGGGCCAGTTCTCCCCTCCCTCCTGCCTGGGGAATCGGAGGGAGTAGGGGTGTCGCCATAGACCGGAGCCAGGCCGCAGGAGGACAGAGCCCTGCAGGGAGAAGGAGGTGCTAGAACTCCCTCTCCCCAGGTCTGCCCCAGGGACAGGAGGCACTTGAGGCTTCCATGACAGCTGGGGACTGACTTCAGGGGCCAGAGCCAGGGGCCCTCGGCTCAACTCAGGGTTCCAAATCCCAGCTCTTTTTTGCCCCAGTGTGACCTTGGGCAGGTCACGTATGTCTCTGGGCCTCTCTCCTGTGCCCTGGGCTGGTTCCAGCAGACAACCGGAAGCAGGACGGGAGCCCCGGTCCTGGGCTGTGGGGATCAGGGGTCGGGAATTCCAGTTGTCTGTCAGCTGCCTGTCTCCTGGGCTGTGGGAGTCAGGTATTGGGAATTCTAGGCAGCGTCGGGTACCCAGGAGGTGCCATCTCCGCCAACGTTGCGTTAATTTGTTCAGTTGTGAGCCCAGCGCTGTGCAGGCCTGGAAGAGGCCACCAGCCATGAGATGGACAGGCTGGGGCCAGGCAAGGTGTGCCAGCGCCATTCGGGAGGTGGACGGGGCTTGGAACCATCACAGCCACCCATCAGCCCTGGGGCAGACCAAGGCCTGTGAAGCTGGGTCACGGGGTAGACCTGCTTCAGCTGGGCCCCCTCGGGGGCGCCACAGGAGACCATGCTCTCCAGCCTCCCTTGTTTGGGTGTGTGGACTGAGGCCCAGGGCGGGGTTCATTCCTTCGAGTTCATTCACACAGCAGACACCGGTGAGGGCTGTGTGTGGCATGGACGCAGGGAGCTCGTGGCAGAGCTGACACAGGGTGTGGTGGGCATAGGGACAGGAGGCACGGGAGGCTTCCCGGGATGTCTGGGGAGCGTTCCAGGCCGAGGCTGGCGAGGCTGGCCCAGGGCAGGTGACGGACAGAGGGCTGGACCGGCGTGGCAGCGATGGGAGGAGAGAAGTCGGGGGGAGTCGGCGGGTGGCAAGGGTGGGTGGCACGTCCTGGGGGAGGGGTAGCTGGGTGCTGAGGGTGGGTGGCACGTCTTGGGGGAGGGGTAGCCAGATGCTGAGGGTGGGTGGCACGTCTTGGGGGAGGGGTAGCCAGATGCTGAGGGTAGGTGGCACATCCTGGGGGAGGGGTAGCCGGGTGCCGAGGGGGGGTGGCACGTCTTGGGGGAGGGGTAGCCAGATGCTGAGGGTGGGTGGCACATCCTGGGGGAGGGGTAGCCGGATGCTGAGGGTGGGTGGCATGTCCCGGGGAGGGGTAGCCGGGTACCGAGGGTGGGTGGCACGTCCCGGGGGAGGTAGCTGGGTACTGAGGGTGGGTGGCATGTCCTGGGGGAGGGGTAGCTGATAGGGGGCAGGTGAGGGTCCCAGCCTTGGCCAGGGTCTCAGAAGTGTGTGTGGCCTGGGCAAGCAGCCCCCGGTCTCGTGCAGGGGTCTGTGGGGCTAGCTTTGGCTGCAGTGACCCCACTCCCTCCGCAGAGCATCCCAAGGGCCCCGTCTTCAGACGAGGAGTGCTTCTTTGACCTGCTGACCAAGTTCCAGAGCAGCCGCATGGACGACCAGCGCTGTCCCCTGGATGACGGCCAGGCTGGGGCTGCTGAGGCCACGGCCGCCCCCACGCTGGAGGACAGGATCGGTGAGTGCCTCCCTCAGCCGGGCCCTCCCTTGGGCTTGTCTGCAGGGGCCAGGACCAGGGCTCCTGTCCTGCCTCCAGTGAGGAGCTTTTGGGGGACAGACCAGCAGACCAGCTGCAGAGCACCGTCACCAAGGGCGCCCTCCACAGCCCCCGCAGAGCAGCATCCCGGGAAGCGTGTCACCAGTCTGCCCTCCGGAACATACTCAGGCCGCACGGGCGGTCTCGGGGAGGGGGGTGGGCAGGGCGTGGGAGACCGGCGTTGTCCTCCTGTCACCCCCTGGAAGCCCCAGAGGTGGGCGTGGGAGCCACAGCAGAGGGAGCAGCCGAGAGCTGCCTAGGCTGGTCAGCGGAGACCCCCCCGGGAGCCATGGCCTCAGGAGCACAGTGGGCTGAGCTGGACTCAGAGGTCAGAGCTCACTGTGGCCGCAGCCCGAGCCTCGGGCCTGACCCTGCACTGGGTCCCAGCCCTCGCCCTCTGCACCTCCGCAGCCCAGCCCTCCATGACGGCCTCGCCCCAGACCGAGGAATTCTTCGACCTCATCGCCAGCTCCCAGAGCCGCCGGCTGGACGACCAGCGGGCCAGCGTGGGCAGCCTGCCGGGGCTTCGGATCACCCACAGCAACGCAGGGCACCTCCGAGGCCATGGCGAGCCCCAGGAGCCAGGAGACGACTTCTTCAACATGCTCATCAAGTACCAGGTGGGCTGCGGCCCGGGCAGGCATGGCTCATGGCCCCTTTGCCATCCACTTGTGTGGTGGGAACTTGTGTGTCCTGGGGGGTGAGGTGGGTGCTGGTTCCTCCATCTCAGGTCATGTTTGAGGGACTCCTGGGGGACTCAGCCAGTGTCACCAGATGACAAGGGGTGTCTGAGCCTGAAGCGCCACTTCTGGGAACCCCAGGCTGCTGGGGATACCAGAGACCCCCACAGAAGGCAACCCCAGGACACCCCCAGGCTGTGCCACCCCCCCGCTGTGCAGGAACTCAGGGTGGGGGCTAGGGGGTCATAGGTCCTAGAGCTCATGGCCTCAGGGATTCCCCACCAGCCCTCCACACCTGGCAGGGAAAACACAGGCCAGATAGCATCCCCAGAGTGGGGAGGGCAGGGGGATCCAGGGCTGCCAGCCGGCTGGCGGGACAAAAACAGGGACCATCCAGGAACCACACAGTGGATGGCAGGGGCGGAGGGTCCAGCCCCAGAGGGCAGAGCCAAGGCTGGGGCTCCAGCCTGGCAGCCACACTGGGAATGCCCTCCTCACCTGTGTGGGGGTGAGCCAGGTAGGGGGGCCGGAGCGGGGACTGTTGAGCCAACAGTTGTCCCAACTGGGACCTCAAACTCTGGGGGTCTCACCATCCCTGTGGGGTGCAGCCACTGCTGGGAAGGGGTTCAGGGTCCCTAGACTTGGAAACAAGCTGGCGGTGGAGGCTACTTGGCCCACTATGCACCAAGCCAGCGAGTTTCCAGGTCTGCCGTCCTCCCTACAGCGGAGAAGAAACCGCGGCCTGGGGCCAGGCATCCGACCAGCCGCCTCCAAACCAGCCCCACCCAAGAGGCCCAGAGTCCCCCGTCCACATGCATGCCTGTGCCAGCTCCCGTCCCTCCTGCTCCAGGCCCTTCAGAGAAGCCCAGATGCCCCCTTGGCCCCCTGGCCTGCACGCTGGAGCAGGCGAGGCCCACGGGGTCGGCCACCTGACCCAAGGGGGAGCCCTGGGGAGCGCCACAGTTCGGGCTCTGCAAGCTGAGACCTCAGGCCTGCCAGCGTCAGACCTGGCAGAGGGACGGCCACGCATGCCCGTCCCTGGGGATCAGCAGATCTGGGGAGCAGGCGTCCAATGCCAACCTAGCCACTGTCTCCTGGCCCTGGCGCACCCATGCCCAGTGGGAATCGTTGGACCTGCTTTTCCTGGATGGGCCTGCCGTGGGCTCCTGGGGGGTGGGGGCGGGGCCACCAGAAGACTGTGCACAGGGCCCGGGCTCCCAGCACAAGCCCCCAGAGCGAGGGAGGCCCCAGAACCAATTCCTTGGGTAGACATGGGGAAGCCCACGAGCAGTGCACGCCGGCCCTCCGGAACCGCCCCTGTTGACCAGCACCCGGACCACTGGACCTGGGGAGGGTGAGGCCGCCAACCGCACTGTGTCCACTCAGTCCTCCAGGATCGATGACCAGCGCTGCCCGCCGCCCGACGTGCTGCCCCGGGGCCCTACCATGCCGGACGAGGACTTCTTCAGCCTCATCCAGAGGGTGCAGGCCAAGCGCATGGACGAGCAGCGGGTGGACCTCGCCGGGGGCCCGGAGCAGGGAACAGGCGGCCCGCCCGAGCCCCAGCAGCAGTGCCAGCCTGGTGCGAGCTAAGGCCCTGTGCCCACCGCCATGCCTGCCCTGCCCCCGCTCCTAGACGCTGGGCTCACAGTCACAGCCACGTCCTCCCGAGGCCATCGCTGAGGACAGGCACTGGGCATGCAGCCCCACGGCCTCCCCGACCCAGAGCAGCAGGCTCAGGCCGAGCTGCCCGCGGCGGGAGGGCGTTCTCCATCCCGGGCTGGCCCCCCATGGCCCTGGACTTGCTCCCTCCTGCCCCGCCGCAGGCCGGATGGGGTCTCGGCATGTCGGCCCCGACCCGGTGCTGTCAGACTCCCGCACCCTCTCCCCCAAGCCCTTCTCGTTCTGTCCTGCCCTGCCAAATGTGAAACCTGCTGTCTCCCCTACTCTCCCCAAAGGTGTCTCTGAGCCTCTTCTCGGGGCCACCAAGGACAGGGCCACGTTCTTCCCCCCCAGAGCTGGTCTTGAGACGGCCACGTGGCAGGCTTCGTCCCCTCCAGCTTCGTCCCGGGGCAGGGCTCCCTCCAAGCCTATCTCCCCACTCCTGCCCGGGCCGGAGGAGGTCTGCAACCACAGAAGGCCCCCCAGACCAGGCCGCAGGGGCAGCTCTGAGGTGCCTCCCCGCTGCAGGGGCCTTGATAGGAGCTGGGCCTGTCTGTAAAGCAGAGGGAATGGCTGGGCATGAACTTTAACACTCCAAACCCCAAGCCAGGAAAAAGGGCAGGGCCTGGTCCTGGGGACGCTTGCTGGCAGCGGGCACAGTGGTCAGTCAGGGCGGGAGACGGCACCAGGCTCTGTGACCCTCACCCGAGGTGGGGGGTCAGTGGAAGCTGGGGAGGCTTCACTCAGCTCAACTCTGCAGAACCCCCGATATGAGAACCCCCCTCCTCCCACCAGCTGGGGGAGATGACATCACTGCTGTCTCCCCATGGGGAGGGGCTCACAGGGCACTGAGTTCAGGATCCTGAGACTGGCAGGACCTGTTGGAGCCTGAGATGGGCCTGAGGTTGCCTGCTCCTGTCCAGACCCAGCCGTGGCATCTCCCGGGGGCCTCACCATGGCCCCACAGCCCCCAGGGCTGGCAGTTCCATCTAGGAGGGAGCCCGCTCTCAGGCTGGGATGGAGAGGCAGTCCTGGGCCCGGCGAGGTGAGCTGCCTCTGGAGGGGCAGGGCCGCACCCCAGGGCAGGGACAAGTGCCCGGACACAGGGTCTCCAGGACGTAGCGCCCCCCCTGCATACTTGAATGTATGTGCGTATTTATTGCTCACATGTGTGTGCCATGTTGTCAGTGGGTCCTTTCCAACCCAAGAGGTACATTTGTTTTTCTGTTTTTTCCTGAAAAATAAAGTCGGCCAAGTGAGTGTGGTCCGTATGACCTTAGTCCCGGGGGTGACCCAGGTAAGAGGCTGCACCGTGCGTGCAGAGTGTCCACAGATACCCACGGTCTGGGCCCTCTGAGACCTCAGAAAGATGGAGTTCCCACTGCATTTAACCACAGGGGAGCCGGGGCACAGAGGGGTGAAGTGGCTGCCTGCTGTCACCACTGACTCCTGCACCGCTACCTCCTCACGCTGCCAGCCCCTAGGGAAACAGAGCATGCTCTGAGCTGACACTCGAGTGGCCGAGGCCAGCCCCCGAAGCAGCAACCCCCAGGTCAGCCCCACGGCCCCTTGAGGACCCAGCCTGCTGCCATTCACCCTGCAGCCAGTGGGGGGAGGTCCTTTCCTGGAGTCTGATCCGGCTGGGCTCGGGGTCTGGACACTGAGCCACAGTACAGGAGCTGGGGGCAGATCGGCACTTTTGGGGCTTGTCTGGGCGCTGCTTGTGGTGGGCAGCACCCCCACAGGGCCCCTGTCGGGGGACACACAGCTGCGCCGGGCAGTTCGGCTGCCCCTCGCCACAGCCCATCTGGCCACGTTGGCAGCCACAGCCTCTGTGCTGGTTGACTCCGTTGCCGCCTCCACCTCAGAAGGGGCCTTGGGAACCAGAATCAATGTGTACTCCAGGTCCGGGGTCCCGGCCGGCTTGCGGGTGGCGGTACATGCACACAGGGTCCAAGTAACCGTGCAGGGCCTGGGACGGATCACAGCCAGGGAGGTGCAGCAGTGCCCCCCACGCCGATGGCTGACGCATGGGACAGCCTCCGAAGGTGCGGCTGAGGAGTCCTCTTAGAGAGGCACACGGTGGTGAGGGATGCCCAGGCCAGCAGCCGTCCCCAGGAGGCAGGGATGTCCTGGAGGCAGGGGGGGCAGAGTGCTGGGAGATCAGGATGGCAAAGCCCCTTGCAGAAACCTGGCTGTGGCAGTGAGGCTGGGGGGAGGGAAGGGCGGAGGAAGACAGGGTCCAGGGGGACCTCAGGCAGAAGCTGGTGGGATGTGTCGGGCACGCTGGGGGTGGCCATAGGTCTTCTCTACTCTAGGAACGTGCCAGCCTTGGGAAGGGTGTCCCTCCAGGGCCAACCTGGGCCCAGAGGTGCTGGCACCAGAGAAAAAAGACACGGTAACATCCACAACCCAACTACTGGCCTCCATCTCCCCAACTGTAAGAGGAGGGATTGGCCCGAGCAACTCTCCTCGCTCGAATCCTGCACTTCCAGGTCCGACGGCTCCCTGGACCTCCCCACGTGCTGGTCCAGGCCCTCTGGAGGCAGTGAGGCACCCAAGCCAAGCCCAGCCCACTGGCCTCTGCACTTCCAGGCCCCCAAGAGACCCCCAGTCAGTGCCTCCATGGAGAAGCAGGCCTGGGTGCGGGTGGCTCAGCGAGAGGAGGACAGTTTCCACAAATGGCACAGAAGGTTCTGGGTGGGAATAATAGAGGGTTGTTGGCTGAGAGGACGGGTAATCCAGTCAAAGCCCACACCACAAGCGCACTGGGAACAATGCCACCAGGTCGCGGCCTCCCACGGGCCGGATGTGAGCTGGCAGTCCCGGCTGGGTCCTGCTGGCAGGGGCTGCACTGGGTCCCTGTCGTGCTCAGTTCTGCCTCCACCTCCCACCTCGCCCCATTCTCTTTCCTGCCAGAGTGTGGTGGGTGATTAATGCTGAAGGTCACACTGCCCAGAACGCTTCTGCAAATAAACAGGCTCCTGCGTGTGCTCGCTTTCATCAGCACAGGAGCATCCTGTGCACAAACAAGGCTGGGAGACAAACCCCACGTGCCTCGGAGGGCCCGGGGCATCCAGAGCGCCGTCCACCAAGGGGAGGAGGCCCAGATGGCTCCCCCGGGAGGGGCCTGGAGCTCCCGACACGTGGCCACACCATAGCTGCTCGTCCTGCCTGGGCCAGCAAGCAGCCCGGTTTGCTCAGTGTCACCGACAGCCAGCGGCCGAGGGCCAGGGCTCAGGTCTGCACTGGCTCACGGAAGGGAGGCCGCCAGAGCTGGCCAGGGGGATGGCAAGGGGCTTGCAGAGGAAGGCTGAGGCTCACAGGGGTGGTGACCTGCTCAAAGTCACGCAGTGACAAACAAGAGGGGCTCTGACTCCACATCCAGCCCCCTTTCCAGGAGACTGTGGCCCCTGTGGGCAAGTCCAAGGCGACTCCGTGTAGGAGGAACTGGTGAGGCGAGAGGTCCTGCGGCTCCAGTGTCCCACCCAGCAGCACCAGGGATTCAGAGCAGTCATTCTTTTTTTTTTTTTGAGACGGAGTCTCGCTCTGTCGCCCAGGCTGGAGTGCAGTGGCGCGATCTCGGCTCACTGCAAGCTCCGCCTCCCGGGTTCACGCCATTCTCCTGCCTCAGCCTCCCGAGTAGCTGGGACTACAGGCGCCCACAACCGCGCCCGGCTAATTTTTTGTATTTTTAGTAGAGACGGGGTTTCACCGTGGTCTCGATCTCCTGACCTTGTGATCCGCCCGCCTCGGCCTCCCAAAGTGCTGGGATTACAGGCGTGAGCCACCGCGCCCGGCCAGAGCAGTCATTCTAACTCCAGAAAAAGAAATGCCACCAGGGCCACCGGCCCCAGCATCCGGAAGTAATGTCTGTTTATTGATAGAAAACAGGCCATGTCCAGAGAGGCCCAGGGCCAAAACATCCTTCTGGAAGGCAGAAGTCCCACAGTGCTGGGGAGCACAGGAGTCAGCTCGGCTCCGTCTTGCCACGGCCGGGGGGACCCTCATCCTCACCTGCTTCTGGAGCAGCAGTAGATGTGGGGGTCCCTGCAGCCTCTAGAACAAACTCCAGGGCCCCCTCGCCCACCACACGGTGCACCTGCTCGCCTCTGGCCGCCAGGATCTCTTCGATATTTCTGGGAGGCAGGGAGGCAACAAGGTTCTTCAGGGCCCCTGCTCACCCTGCACGTCAGTCCCCTCAGGGTGCCCCATGGCCAGGCCAGAGCTGCAAGCACCAGGACCAGCACTCCTGTGGCATCAGGCCACGTGGGCACTTCAGATGCTGGCCTGTGTGCCCTCACCAACCCTGTCTCTCTGCCAGTATGTGCCACCTCAGGAACCCAGTCCTGCTCCTGCCCCCTATGCGCCAGAGGGAAGAGTCTGCAGCCCCAGGTCGGATGGGAGGACAGCCCCAGCTCCAAGGCCCAGGTACCACCAAGTGCCCAGCATGCTGGTCTCAGACCTGCTGTCACTGTTACTGTCCTGCTCAGGACCTCCCGGCCAGGCAAAGCCCGGACCAAGCTCCCAACACCACCTCCACTGCTCTCCCAGCGGCCAGAGCCCAGGCCACACCGCCCGGCCCACACTCCACACTTTGCCATGGGCCAGCCACTCCGAGACGGCAGAGGGCAAAAAAGTACCACGCCAGAGAGACAAGACTGGCAGTGAGGGCAGAGGGCAGGTAGAGGCAGGGAGGCAGGGCCACAGGGCTGGCAAGATTTAGCAAATGAAAACACGACCCCTACTTCCGGCATACTTAAACTAAACAGCTATCTGGGGGTTATAGGAAATTCTAATTTAACTGTGTATCTTGTATTGATAAGGTGGCTGGATTGCCCAGGTGAGATCTATAGACCTCCACACTAGGGCACGGTTCCCCCAGGGAGGCCAGGGTTCTGGGTGGACTCCTGGCCCAGCCCTGGGGTACAGGCCTCACCTCTTCCCATTCAGGTCCGAGAACCAACCCAGGTTGTCCGCGATGATGTGGTGGTTCTGGCAGCCGGGGCAGGTCACAATGACCACGCCTTGGTGATAGGCCAGCTTGGAGATGCGCTTGGAGGACCTAGTCCCGCAGACCTGTCTGGGACAGGGCAGCTGGTGAGGCTGTGAGCGCCGCCACGCCCCTCCCGGGAAGACCCTCCCCTCGAGGGGTAGCTCCACCCACCTCACCCTCCAGGGAAGGCCCCGCCCCCGAGAAATAACTCCACCCACCCCCCCAACCGCACCCTCTCCCGGGGAGGCCCCGCCCCCGAAACGGCTCCACTCCTTCTCATGGTCCGCCTCCCCTCCTTCCCAGAAGGCCCTACACCCACCTCGCCCCAAGTTGTGGCTCCACCCCTTCCTCTGACTTGACCCCGCCCCCTGCGGGAAGGCCCTGGCGGGCCGCCTCTCCCCGCAGGCTGTGTAGCGCCAGGTGCGGGTCTGTCCCCGATTCCGTGCCGCCGCGTGCCCACCTTGCAGGTGTAGACGAGCTGGTAGTGCGCAGCCTCCACGCGCCCCAGAGCCGCCGCGGGCCCCGGCCCCGGCTCGGAGCTTGAGCGCCGCCAGCCCCAGGCCCAGGCGCGCCGCCTCCCCGCGACCTCTGGACGGGCCCCGCGGCCCCACAGCCGCCTCACGCAGGGCCCTCGGGGCTGCACGCGGCTCAGCAGCCTCGGCGCGCCGCCCAGCACCGCCCGCAGCATCCCGCTCGCCAGCTCCGTCAGCCCCGCCCTGGCCCCGCCCCGCCGCCATCTTGGAAGTGGGCACCAGGCGGAAGCGGCCTTCCTGGGCTTCCGTCCTCCGGGTTGGGGTCGCGCTGCACTCTGCCGCCCCCTGGCGGCCTGATGGGGCCCTGCGTCCACGTGCAGCTCGCTGCCGGAGGACACCGAGGCCCCGCAGCGAGGAGGGACGGCCGCGGGGCTGCGCGCGAGTGTCCGAGCGGGAATGCGGGTCACCCGTGCTGTTTATTTATTTAAGCTGCCGTGTTTTCTCACACTTCTACAATGAATGCATGTATTGTGTGTTACATGGTGAAATAGAACAGACCCTGACGTTACACAGATGGCGTGTGCATGGGGGTGGCGAGCACCCGCATGGCCTCCTCAAGCTGAGTGCCGCTTAACAAACAGCCCCCAACGCCAGCCTGCCCGGCTCAGCCTTTCAGGGCACCAGATTCCTCCTTCCAGGCTAAGCCAGCGACGGCTCGGGGGAAGTCTGCGCCCCAGGGCGTCGGCACCCCCAGGTGGCGGGAGGCCGGGCCGGTGGGTGTGCCCTGGACGGGGCCTGCGCTGCCGCGGCTAGGAGCCCTCAGTGTCCGTGTTGTCGCTGCCGGTGGTCTCCTGGTCCGCCTCCCCCTGCCGCCAGCCTTTCTGCATCTTCCTAAGGGCGCGCTTCCTGCGAAGACACAGGTGTCTCAAGCGCAGACCCGGCTGCAGCTCCCCAGCCCGTTTTGGAGAAGCCTGGGGGCCGCCCGCCTACCTGCGGTAGTTCTCGAAACTCTCCTTAAGGCGCCGCCGCTCCTTCTCAGGCGGCTCCCCGCTGCTCAGGCCTGCGTCCTGGAGAAGGGGAAAGGCTTGAGCTCCCGCCGGCTCCCCTGAGGGCACCCTCCCTTCTCTCTCGCACCCCCACTGGCCCCGGTAACTGCAGACTGGTGGGGAGGCGGGGAGCTCAGACAGCCTCAGCTCAGCGCCAAGCTCGCCGCGCTTGGGACCTGCCTGTACCCGGGGAGTGAGCCGATGTGGGTAGCCTGCATTTCAGATGCCAAGACACAGGCAGGAGGCCAAGCCACGCTCCGGCCTGGGCTCCTGGCCATTGTTTCTACAACAAAGCCCGAGGTAGTCCTTGCTCTCAGGACTCCTGTGTTCACCTACTCAGGGTTGACTCCGCATCCACTGTAAAGTCCCCCAAGAAACCAGGACCAGGCACGTCCACCTCCAAGCCCCCCGAAGCTGCTGCAGTACCCAAGAAAACGGGGGGATCCACTTCGCGCCCCAGACAACCGCACCCCAAGCACTGAGGGCAGAAACCTTGTGGTCACCCCTCAGCCGTCGTTGGGGCCACTGCAGGGGGTGCCTAGGGCGAGGAGCCACCCTCCCTGGGATCGGCCACCGTGAGGCCCACAGCTGGGGGGACCCCACCCTGAGGAAGCCTTACATGGGGGGTCCGTGAAAGCTGTTCCTGGTGCAGAGCTGCAAAGGGCTGTTCCGGGCTCCCCGCACCGGCCAGGCATCCTGGAAAGGAGAGTCGTGCCTGTGGGGACTGCCCACCTGCAGGGCCACGTACAGCAAGGGTGCCCCACCCCTCCCCGGCATTGCGGACACCTTGTGGGCCTGGTGGGATCCCCACATGGGTCCAGTGTAGACTCTGCCTTCTGTAGAGGAGACTGAGGCCTTATGGCCTCCCTTGCCCATTCATTGCTCCAGGATGCCGCCAGATGCCAGCCCAGGCCCAACGCTCCTGCCAGTGACCATCCCTCCCCCAGGCTGGCTGCCCCCCAGGCAGGAAGGCCTCCCAGACCTCAGGGGAGCTTAAACCCTGGCCTGAGCAGCACTGTCCCCCATCACTCCAAAGCATCTGTGGGCATGGCGGCCCTGGGGAGAGAGTTGGAAACAGCTACAGTGGCGGGGGCAGGGGTACTGCACAATTGGGAGAGAACCTTCAGGTGGCTAGACCCCCTCAGAACCCGCCAGGACCTGGGCAGACCAGGGGTCAGGACCCTTGGGCAGAAACCATGCATGTCCAGTCTCAGCCCCGCTGTGGGGAAGGCCAGGCCAGGGCTGTCCTGGCCATTGGCAACCCCTCCTTAGAGCCAGCCCCTCCCCTGCTCACCCTCGGACCTTCATGCCTGCCCCCACTCCTGCCACAGCCACCCAGGGAGATGGTGGCAGTGCCTGAGCTGGACTCCTGGGTCTGCTCGCCTCTGTGCCTACATGGGGGCTTGGCGTCCCCAAGTTCAAGTGTTCTGGGCTGCGGCCAAAGGTGCTGGTCTTCACTTCCCCATCTGCGGCTCCTCCTTCCCCTTCCGCCTCTGCTTGGAGGCCACAGCCTGGTGCTCGGGAAGCTCGTCCAACTCCCACGCAGCCTCCCAGGGTCCCTCTGCTGGGTCCTCCCCGACTCCCACCTGACACCACCTTCAGAGCAAACACCTACCTCATCACCACTATCCGCTCCTGGGCACTCGGGGGCTGCTCCCAGCCAGCCACTCCAGTTCTTCCCCCAGAGAGGCACAGGGGGCCTGCCCTGCCCGCTAGAAGCCCCCACCACTGCCTTACCCCCACTGCACCGGGACACAGCAGGCCCTTGGCCACCCCTGCATTCGGCCCTGTCCCTCAAGCCACGTGGGGCCCCGTCTTGCCCCACTTTCTAGCTTTGTACCCCTGGGCATTTGCTCATCACCACCTCCCTCTGCTCATCTCTGCACCCCGGGGGGCTGCCCAGAGGGGCCCCACACTCTCAGGACAGTGGGCCTGCTCACCTCTGCACCCCGGGGGGCTGCCCAGAGGGGCCCCACACTCTCCACCCCAGGGGACACTTGTCCCACCAGCTGGGCCCCGGGTTCCACTGGGCTCTGTAGTTTGTTCTCTGGGTGACCTTGGCCATTTTACTTATCCCCAGCCCTAGTTTCCGTCTGTGGGGTGGGGGTTGTGGGGGCTGAGACAGGCATTGCGGCACGGGCTGCCTGTGCTGAAGATGGGCCTCGCTTGGGGCAGCCGGGAGGCCTCCAGGTGCACTGCCGTCCCCACCTTACCTTTGTCCGAGAGCTGGGTGTCCTCCAGGTCCTGGGGGAGCGAGAGCTTCCGAAGAGAGGCAAGATGTCCCGTTAGGTCACCCCGCCAAGGACTGGACCCGGCCACACTGCCCACCCCAGCCCTTGGCCCTCAGCTGGGTGCGGCCGTTGCCATCACCCCCTGCACAGAGCTTCTCAGAGACTCAGGTGCTCAGCAGACGGATGTGGGGGAGGCCAGCCAGGAAGGTCCCGCCATGAGGATGCAGGAGCTGGGCACTGTCCATGCCTTGCCTTACCCCTTGAGCTGTCGGAGGCCTTAGTATTTGGTCACCTGCTCTTCCTCCACCAAGCCCAGCCCACTGAGCAGGGCCATGTGACGGGCAGTGTGGGGCTGTGCCTGGTGGCGGCTCAGCCAGGACCCCAGGTGAAGGAAGGCCAGCCTCGTGCCGGCTGGGGTCTCACTCACCTCCTGGGAGCTCCTGGGTGAGCCATCCTCCAGGTCGGAGCTCTGTGGTCATAGAAAACGGGGTGGGTGGGCTGTGGGGGCAGAGGGCTCCCCAGGCACAGGGTGGGCAGGGCACAGAGCGGGATCCTCCAGGGAGCCCTGGGCATGCCCTTAGCCACGCCAGGCCCCCTCCATGCCCAGAGCAACGTGCTAGGCTGCCTGATAGCCAGGCCCAGCACCCACCCTGGCCCTGCAGCCCCATTTCCTGCTGGGGCCCTGAGCTGCTCCTGTGCCCTCACCCCACTGCGAGGGGGGGTTCGGTTAGGTGGGGGCCCGTCACAGAGGAGGGTTGGGTCAGGAAGGCCCATGTTCCCCCGGCCCTGCGTCCCACCCGCTGGCTCCCCTCCCTGCCCCAGGCCCCAGGCCCACCAGCACGAGCGTCTCCAGCTGCTGCCGCCTGAGCCTGCCCTCCACGGCCAGTAGCTGCGCCTCACGCTGGAACACCTGCAGCTGCAGCTCATCTGCCTTCTCACCCAGCTCCCGCACCTGCTTGCGCAGTGCGTCCTTCTCCTGCAGGCCCCGGGCATGCTGCAGGTGCAGCTCCTCCCGTGTGGCGATGGCCTGATGGGACAGTGCAAGGCCGACCCTCAGTGAGGCCCCCAAGCTCGCCCTGGGCCCTCGGCCTGGCTGCCCAGCTCCGAGCAGAGGCCCCGGAGGACGTCAAGCCGCTGGGTGTGGAGGCTGGCCACAGCCCCTCCCTTTATGTGCTCTGTGAACATGAAGTCAGCATCTGAGGGATTGTAAAGGTGACAGTTGTCCCTGCTGCCCTTCTGTCTCCTCCCAAGCCTGCACCCCCGGTGGACACAGCGTGTGCTGTGCACCGGCCCCCCCAACACACACACATGTGCACATTTGATAAATTTTGGATGTGGCTTGATATGGGGACCCTGACTGTCCATGGCTAAAACTCCTTCATGAGCGCAGCACTCTTCACCACCCCTGTCCCCACTGCAGATGCTGAGGTAGGTACAGGAGCGAACGTGCAAACATGACGGCGTGACCACCCCTGCAGCCAAGGCTGGGAGGCCCTCACCTAACCCCTGCCACTGGACTGGAGCAACGGCTGGCAGCTTCCCTAATCCCTGGCCAACCTGCTCCCGCACAGCCCCGTGGGAGCCCTCGCCCTGGGAGCCACACCAACCCCCATGGGGGCACGACTGGATCTGCCCTTTTTTCCCCATCTTGGGGTGGGCCAGGCGCGAGTGAGGCTGTGGTGGGGCCGCGCAGGAGTTCTGAGCCTGTGCTGCTCTCATGGTGGCCAGGGCTTGCTTTATGGCCCCAGGGGTCTCGTTTTAAGGCTCCTGATGTGGACAAACTGCCATCCAGAATTTCGCCGAAGAAGCAGTGGTGTCCATTGGAGACAACCTCCAGGATGGGACTCGGGACGGGGCATAGGAAGCAGACACAGCCCTGCCCCGTGACGCTCTATCCGGCTCACAGCATGTAGCACTCGAGGCCTTGCAGGCCTCACTCCGGTGGCCCAGGCTGGAGTGCAGTAGCGCAATGGTGACTTGCTGTAGCCTCAGCCTCCTAAATAGCTGGGACCACAGGCATGTACCACCACGCCAATTTTTTTTTTTTTTTTTGAGTTGGAGTCTTGCTCTGTCACCCAGGCTAGAGTGCAGTAGTGTGATCTCAGCTCACTGCAACCTCTGCCTCCTGGGTTCAAGCGATTCTCCTGCCTCAGCCTCCTGAGTAGCTGGGACTACAGGTGCCCGCCGCTACACCCGGCTAATTTTTATATTCTTAGTAGAGACGGGGTTTCACCATACTGGCCAGGCTGGTCTTGATCTCGTGACCTCAAGTGTTCCACCTGCCTCGCCCTTCTAGAGTGCTGGGATTACAGGCATGAGCCACCATGCCCGGCCAATTTTTGTATTTTTTATGGAGTTGGGATCTCACCATGTTGCCCAGGCTGCTCTGGAACTCCTGGGCTCAAGTGATCTGCCCGCCTCAGCCTCCCAAAGTGCTGGGATTACAGGCAAGAGCCACTGCGTCCAGCCAAGTTTTTTTTCAAGATTAAAAAAAGCTACTGGTGCCGGGCGCGGTGGCTCAAGCCTGTAA